TGGAATTCTGCATTCAATTGGGTGTATCTTTCTCTTTCTCCTTTGCCTTTCGCTTCCCTTCTTTCCTCAGCTATTTGCAAAGCTTCCTCAGACAGCCATTTTGCTTTCTTGCATTTCTTTTTCTTTGGGATGGTTTTAGTTGCTACCTCTTGTACAATGTTGCGAACCTCCGTCCATAGTTCTTCAGGCACTCTGTCTATCAGATCTAATTCCTTAAATCTATTTGTTACCTCTACTGTATATTCATCAGGAATATGATTTAGTTCATACCTGAGTGGCCTAGTGCTTTTCCCTACTTTTTTCAATTTAAGCCTAAATTTTGCAACGAGAAGCTCATGATCTGAGCCACAGTCAGCTCCTGGTCTTGTTTTTACTGACTGTATAGAGCTTCTCCATCTTTGGCTGCAGAGCACATAGTCAATCTGATTTCTATGTTGACCGTCTGGTGATGTCCATGTGTAGAGCCGTCTCTTGGGTTGTTGGAAAAGAGTGTTTGTTATGACCATCGTATTCTCTTGACAAAATTCTATTAGCCTGTGCCCTGCTTCATTTTGTACTCCAAGGCCAAACTTGCCTGTTATTCCGGTTATCTTTTGGCTTCCTACCTTAGCATTCCAATCCCCCATGATGATAAGGACATCATTTTTTGGTGTTAATTCTATAAGGTGCTGTAGGGCTTCATAGAACCGGTCAATTTCATCCTCTTCAGCACCAGTGGTTGGGGCATAGATTTGGACTACTGTGATATTGAATGGTTTGCCTTGGATTCGAATTGAGATCATTCTGTCATTTTGGGGATTGTATCCCAGTATTGCTTTTCCTATTCTTTTATTGACTATGAAGGCTACTCCATTTCTTCTGAGGGATTCTTGCCCACAGTAGTATACCTGATGGTCATCTGAGTTAAATTCACCCATTCCTGTCCATTTTAGTTCGCTGATTCCTAAGATGTCGATGTTCAGTCTTGTCATCTCTTTTTTGACTACGTCTAGCTTGCCTTGATTCATGGATCTTACATTCCAGGTTCCTATGGAGAAAAAATCTTTACAGCATCGGACTTTCCTTTCACCACCAGATATATCCACAGCTGAGCGTCCTTTCGGCTTTGGCCCAGTCGCTTCATTCTTTCTGGCGCTACTAGTACTAGCCCTCTGCTCTTCCCCAGTAGCATATTGGACACCTTCCGACCTGAGGGGCTCATCTTCCAGCGTCATATCTTTTTTCCTTTTAGTACTGTCCATGGGGTTTTCATGGCAAAGATACTGGAGTGGTTTGCCATTTCCTTCTCCAGTGGATCACATTTTGTCAGAACTCTCTGCTATAACCTGTCCGTCTTGGGTGGCCCTGCACGGCATAGCTTATAGCTTCATTAAGTTACGCAAGCCCCTTCGCCACGACAAGGCAGTAATCCATAAAGGGGACCCAAGAATCTAACCATTGCTTAATAATATTATATGCAGGTATATGCAGAAGACTTAGTGTAATCAAAATATTCCCCAATCGATTTCTACTGCTAAAAATAAAAAGATTTGAGTAGCACATGTCTAGTCAGGTAGCAATATTATCTGTGAACAGGAGATATGATTAGGATTAACAATGGCCTCCATTACCAGTTTATTGGGAAGAAGAGATCGGAGAGCCACAGTTCGCACTTTAAACAAACAGGCCAATTAAAAACAACCAGAGACATTGCAATTACTAAAAAAAGAATGGGGATATTGAAAAATTAAAAGGAGTATTACCTGCATATATCACTCTTACTCTTTTTTATAAGCTGAAACGTTATTTTTGACTAATTTGTAACTTGGGTTTGGAGATTTTGTGTTACAGAATGAATACCTGAAGAGAAAATGATGAAGGTTAGATGTTATACAATTTATTAACTAGAGGCAATAGCCCTTACAAAAGATTTTTTTAAAAAAATAAGATACAAATTTTTGAATGGATAAGAATGAGTAAAAGTAAAGTATGTAAATAATAACAAGCTACATGAAAATAGAGGTGATGCAAAGCTGAACACATGAACAGAATTCTCCCCATAGAGTGTAATACTCTCTGAATAGTTCTCAGATTGTGTGTTGATACAAATAAAAATATTAGCATAGCTTGAAAAATCAATAAAAAATTGGAAGCTTCTGTAAGTTCAAAGCATTGATCCATCTTGCTCCTTACAAATGATTTGCTGATTTCATCCGGTCTAATGGCGTTTTCTGGATAAGTTTGTCCAATCCCTTCACTAGATATAGGGGAGCATAGGTTTCTGGGTTGTCGAAATGATAATATGTGTATGATAATCATGAAATGTTGCAATTGATGTCATTTTGGATTTGATGCTTCTTTGCAGCAGACACTAAGCAGGAACTTTCGATCACTCTGGTTTCCCCTTTATATGGTTCATAGTTACATTTCCTGACATTCTTGAGTATTCTGTGGATGGAATTATAAATTAAATAACCATCTAGAGCAGTGGCTCCCAAACTTTTCTATACCCTGCACCCCTGGAATGTTTGCTATATTATTGCAAGCCTTACAAAAGTTTGAAATAATGGCAACGAATTATGCACATACACTATAATTTTGAAAACCCAAGTTTTCGCAAGCCCTGGAATATCATCTTGTATCCCCAGGGGTTCGAGCACCCCTGGTTGGGAACCCCTGATCTAGGGTAACAAGTTGGGGATCTGTAATACTGCAAATACTACAATACTGAACTATATATGTATTATGTGGCTGCATGCTTTGAAACTGTTGTAGTTATACATATGCCCATGCTTCTGGTAAAGAAGATGTGAGGACATATTTGACATCTCTGACCACTGGCTATCTAGTGGAGCTCTGCAAGTGTGCAAGGTATTTTTATTTATTTATTAATTTTTATATCTCCCATTTCACCTAAGTGACTCTGGGCAGCTTACAAGATATACACATGAAATTCTCCATGTACCCATTTTCCATTCTTTACAACTGTTTCAGACATGTACAAACACTTAAACTATGTTAATGGCCTTGGACAATCAATTCTCCTGCTTGCTCAACCCAGAGCATTATTTTGGTGAAAAGTCATAGTTTTTCACATGATGTAATAGGTTTCTGCATGAAGAAAGCAATAGACTACGGAAGATGTGAAACACAGAGATGGAAATCCCCCTGAAGTGCCATGGTATCACTGTAGCTGCTAGTTTCCTGGACTTAACAGATAGACGTCCAAACAGTGGAGTTCATTTGTGGTTCTCAAATGGTAAGATGGGCACACTGGACCCTGATCTTCATCCAAACTACAGTCCACCAATGTAGTTATGCATTTTTCTTCCATTAATGTATAAGTACCTCACTTCAGAAGAAACTTCTGAACTAAGAAATTCTCACCAGCATTTTTTGGGCAAAGGAATATTCCAGTTCTCAGAATATTGAGTAATAGCTATTTACTCAATATATGCAGCTATTTGTGTGGTAGGATTACAAGTCAAGCAGGCATTCTAAGAATATTACTTTATTCTTGCAGGGCACCTCATAATTATTTCAAAATTTTGAAAGACTGTCCAAGTTTCTTTCTATCTCCTCTCATACTGACAAAATTAGTGTGGGATTATTCTGGATTTCTTTCTCATCCTAGACTAAGTATTTCACTTGTCTTAAGTCTTTCGTTATTGCTTCTTTTAACAAGGTCATCTCTAAATTCCTTTATAGATAGGTGTTGAGGCACAAAGATATGTCCTCCAAAAGAAGGACAGGTATCTGTGCTGCGATGAGGGTGCTCTGAGAATTTGCCGATGGCATTTCCCTTTAAAATTATACCATCATCAACAATTTTGACCCTAGGAAATCCTTGTGGGCCTGATAAACAAGTTAAAAAGAGGATCTGGGGCCATTTCGTAAAAGCTTATTCCCGGTAAAGCAAAGTTTTGTATTATGCTGTATCCAGATTCCAGGTCAGAGAGGCATCTCTCCATCTAAAAATAGATGGCAGCAACATTACATCTATCCGGAATAGTCACACCCAGCACACCAGATGGAAGTGGATATAAGGATAAAGATTACAGTATGGCAAACTGGTGTATCAGTGATCCACAGTCTCCTTACATTCTCCCTGCTTTAGTCACCTTGCATTTATGTTTCAGAGCTTATATTTTAAGGTTCTTTCCATACAACAAAATAAAAAATAGGATCCAATTGTTTTAGATTTTTGCATTCTAATAAACCCTCCTTTTTATCATAGCTTAGGTATCTAGTTTTTATGTGCATATTTGCAAATAGTACTGAGCAATGCATCTTTTCAAAGTTATGTGGATAATTATAAAATCAATAAGGTTTATTTTAATTGATCAATATCCATCATTTAACACTAGTTTCCACAGAAAATGGAGAATTTATTAGTGTGATTTGCTTAAAATCACTGTAGCAAAATGTAATCTGCAAATAATACCAGATACCAAAATATTCAAAACAATAAAAGCCTCTGAGAATTTATTCGCAAAGTACACACACTAAACCTACTTTTAAAATCTGTGGCAGAAGAGAGAGATCTCATAGGCGTTTTAGGGAAACGCGGAAGAAATGGTTGTAAAGTAGTTCTTACTAGGACTGAAAAAATTATGACCGTGGCCTGAAATTTTGTGCTCCAGAGCTGTTAATCCTAACTTTAGAAGAAAGCCTGTAATTTAATGTTCCAATTGCAATGATCCAGTTGCACCTTTGACAGCTATATGGTACAGGGCACTACAGAAACAAGGCTTTCGCAATGCTAGTAGCATTGCAGGGGTTTAAGTACGTGCAATGCTTATTTCAAATGTTTCAGTGCCTTTCTGAATAATTAAAGGCCCAGGAACGGGCAACCAGGCAGTTGGCAATAGCAACTTTTTCCACGAGATATCCTCGATTCTAAAGGTGGTGCTTTTCTCACACAACCCACCTCTTTGTGTCAGTTTCCCGGTAATAGGGATAGCCTTTTCCAGCTTTCCTTCCACTTCCTCTCCCGGCGGCTACCGGCACTGTTACAAATCAAATGCCGAATCGCTGATTACCGTGGAGATCGATGTGATCGCCCTCTTCGCTCTCTCACTTCTTCTATACGTAGAGTCTTCGGCGCTTCAGTGTACAAGGAATATCTGGAGAAGTGCATGACTGGGAACGCGAGCCGACGACAGTATTTTCTTCACAGCGAAATACTCCCTCCCTTTGCTTATTAATTCTTTTGTGTTTTCTGTAACGGGCGAGAGATAGATTATAGTTTCAAAAGACGGCTACAGCGACGACGACGATTTTTTTGCAACCAGTACAATTATTCGCCATTAAGTCCCTCCCTGGGACTTATCCCTGAGAAAAGCGTGTAGGAGCGTGGATCTTGACCTAGTTAGTATTTTTTTTTGTAACGTCTTAATGTTTCATTTGATATCTGGGTCTCTCCTTCACAATCTATCGGGCATAAAGTGAAAGCCTAGACCTAGAGTCTCTTCCTGTTCTTAATTAAGAGAGGCCTCGAGGGATCTTGTCGGATCTTAATTTTTACAGCGAGGTCCTAAGCTTCAGACCTGCACGTTAGGTTGCATGTTCACTTTCTCAGTTCTAATCTCAGTAGAAACAGGAGAAGAGGGCTTTTAAGTTTATCGTATGAATTTGGGCAGGAATTTAATCCTGCTGCCCACTTTTTTCAAATATACCACAACTCAGACCAAATATACCCTCCAACACATCTCTAAAGTGTTTTGATAAAGAGGACTGTGGTTGCCAGTGAGGGGTGTTGTTGCTTCAAGAAAGAGATATATTGGTCTGTTTTGTAAATAATAATTCAGATCTCTCCAATTGCATCTAAGGAGGATTCAAATGAACAAGTGTATCACTTGTCAAAGAAATTCAGGGGCAATATAGGAAACAAAAATCTGGAATTACCAAAGTTCACAAGCAGGGTGTAGATTTCAACATCAAAAAAGAAACCAAAGAATGTTAAATGTTTGCATTAGCACTTCATGAGGGGGCTGCAGTTTAAGCTCCTTGTGTTATTTTTTTCTATTGCTGAAAGAAAAATCTTCATTAGGGTTCAGTCCAAGCTGGGAATAAACAAAATGGAGACTGCTTTAGAAAGAAAGTTGTAGTTTATTGAAGAGTGGAGTCAGACAGAAATAATGCCTCTGGGAAAGCTGACTATAGGGAGCAGGGAGTGGTGGGTTTTTATACCTTCTTGGGCTTTTGTGTTTGGAGTTGTTCCTGTGGCATGGACTTTGACCTGAGGTTCAGTGTGCCTTTCTGGTATTCTGATGGTGGTCGGTTAATCCTATAATGTCCTAAAGGTCATATCCTGTTCCCTGGGACTGGGGCTGATGGCTATGTCCTGTGTTGGATTTTTTGGGTGTGGGGTTGTTAGTTCTAGGGGTCTTTGTCTTTCTAATCCAGTGGTTCTCAACCTTTTTAATGCCGCGACCCCCAACCGGTCATAAGTTGAGGACTACCCAACTAGTCGTAAGTCGAGGACTACCCAACTGGTCATAAGTCAAGGAGTTTCCCTGCCCGGGAGTGCCGCACATGCATGGTGCCGCCCCCTACGCCGGCCGAGGCGTAGCTGGCAAGCGGCAGAGACGGCGCAGGCCGACCACCGGCTGGCCCAGCCCAAGGAAGGTAAGGCACCCGCCGGGCTCCACACGCGCCAGCAATCCTCCTTGCACCCGCCGGCCTCCCATCTCCCACCCCTGGCCCTCTTTTACTTACATTTTTAGTAGTTGCTCAGCAGGGAGGGGTGGAAACCTCCAGACAGCTCACCTTCTCTGCAGACAACTTGCAGCACCGTTTGCAGAATGGGACTTTTGGCAGGCTCAGCAGGGCAGAGACAGCCTGGACAATTCCTATTGGCTTTTGAAAGCAATAGAATTAGACTTTATTCAAGAGAGTCTATTCTATTGGCTTTCAAAAGCCAATAGAATAAAAGGGAGTAGCACAGCTAAGGAAAAGGGGGAAAAAATGGCAGACTGCGTTGTTTGGCGACCCCCGTGAAATGGTTGTTTGACCCCAAATGGGGTCCCGACCCACAGGTTGAGAACCACTGTTCTAATCCCATCAGCTCCAAGCTTCCTGGTTGTGCTCTTTCTGAAAGGATGATCAAATCTGCATTTCTAAAAGCTGGCCTGCTTGGTTTCTGCTTGGGGGAGGGAGACTTGGGGCTGTCTTTGCCTAAGATGTTTCATTATTCCTTTTGGGAAGTATAATATTCTGTCTTTTTTAATACCCTCCCCCAAATGTTTCCTTCTCTAGGAAGGTGGGTGGGTGCTGACTTCCAACACTATCTTAATTGTCTCCCCCTCCAATTGTCTCATGGAGGGGTAGCAAATAACCTAAAAATCCCAAATGAAAAAAAACCAAAACAAATCCCAGATGCTAAGAAAGGCAACCTAATCTGAATGCATTTGTCCTGTATCTTAATTGATTTATTCTGTATCTTTATTTTTTACATGAAAAGAGCACTGTAACATTTTTACATGTGTAATTTTTCAACTCTAGCTAGCTGAACAACAACATGAAACTAGAACAAGTCAGATCTAAGTTCAAATCTCAAGTCAATATTGATATCCTTGATTAAGTGTCTATCAATCTAACCCACTTCCCAAAGTTTTCAAAAAGATAAAAGGATTAAGTAGCCTACTTGGAGGAAAAGATGGGTAATACTGATGGCACCTTTGTTTTAAAAACAATTTGATTAGAATGTATAATTTAGATAAGAATAATACTTTAGAGGAAAGTTTAAATGTTATTTCTTTCAGGGCCATTGCCCAAATAAACAAATGAGATCCTATGCTTATTTATTTTGGGGGAGAAGAAAGTTTTCCTCTTCCATCTGTTCCCTCTCTGCTATAACACATTCTTAGATAGTCTGGACTGAGAGAAAGTGACCCAAGGAGCTTCTGTGAATGAGGAAAAACTAAAATCTGTGTCTCCCTGGCCTTATTCAATAATTATATTGAGAACCTAGGGAGTCTTCAAGGTTTTGGCTGCAAAAACCTACAGACTACTAGACATATCTCTCTAGAGATATGGAAAACTGGTTGATACCATGTAGTCAGTGGTGGGATTCAAATATGTGAATAACCAGTTCTCTGTGTGGATGCGGCTTTCGGAAGTCCATTCTGGGCCTGGGCAACAAAAAAATTAACTACTGGTTCTGCCAAAGTGGCGCGAACCAGTTGAATCCCACCACTGTATATAGTGATCATTGGGATTTTTGCAGTTGAGATAAAGTAGCAATATAAATGTTTATTGACTGAGTTTTAAAGAAGATACTGCTTGTAAATTTCATGGATTTATGGTTTGGTCGATGAAATGCCTTTATGAAGCTAAGCTGTAACTTAGCATTAAAGGAAAAGGACCATGCCCTGAAGTTTTCATTTAGGTCTGGATTCAGTTTGTACTACCATATCAAGGCTTTTCCCATGACATGAGGTTGCAAAATGAAACAGCTCCACTATTGTCTTTATTTGTAAGATGCACATGTTACATAAACATTTTATATTACAATATATTATACTGTAGAACAGTATATAATATATTGATAGTTACTTTGATCTAGTGATTAAGGCAACTGACTAGAAGTTGGAAGATTGGGAATTCTTGTCCTGCTTTATGTATGAAAGCTATCTGGATGACTTGGATTGGTCACTTACTCTCATCCTAACCCACCTCAGAGATAAGGAAAATGAAAGAATAATAAGTATTTGCCACTTTGAATTATTTATAAAAATCGTAAGTGGATTATAAATAAATTATATCACAATATCTTTAACATAATCAAATAACAACATCTGCTTATCCCAAGTCCTTAGGAAGGACTCAATAAGTGGATTAAAAAAAAAATCCAGTCTAAATGTTTCACTGACTGGGTAACAAACTATAATAATGAAGGCATGTCTTGGCTAGCTTGGCTAGGTTAAATTGTTCAATAATTCATAGTTTTATTTCTTGGCTATCCACAGTATTGTCTGGAGTCTTCTCTAACACTAAAGTTGAAAGACATTAATACCTCATTAAACTTCAACTTTCAGTTCTACAGAGTGTCACAGGGAGCATATATTATTTTACAGATTCCTAAGTAGTTGTGACTCAGGTATTTAATTGTGATACTTCTGTTTTGTCCCTGACTGTTTGGAGAAGCTCTAGCTTCTAATAATGCTGTTGATAATAGTTGGTCAATAGTCACAGGACAGTTACTAAAGCAAGGACCTTGGTTCGATTTTGCTCCATGAAATTTCTGTTTCTGGAGCTAATTTAATTTAATTTAATTAATTTAATTCTAATTTAATTTAAAAGAAACCTCTGAATATAGGCCTTATTCTGCATTTGGCAGACTCCTGTTTATTATTTTGTATATTTTATTTAATTGTGACCACTGTGTTAAAATACAATTAAAGTACAGATGTGACAGATACTTATCTGTGTTTGCTATTCAAGTGACATACACAAAAATACATTTGTATGAGTACACTTATATACACAAAGCATTTTGAATGTTTTTCAGAGGTATAAAAAAACAAGAACAATTATAATTATGTATTGACACCCTCCCTAAATGAGATGTTACAAATTAGAAGTAGAATTATCAAAACAATCAAGTTTGGCCTTAATTTATTTTTAAAACTGACAGCCATGTTGTTTGTTATTTGTTATACACACCTTCAAGACTGGAGAAAGATTTTTTTTTCACGAGCAACAAAATTATGTAATAAAGCATTTGCTATTAATGGGATATCATTTAACTTATTCCATTCTAAACTGTGATTACCAGATTAATGTCAGACAGAGCCAAAACATGGCATGTAAATTAGGCCCTATGAAGATTAACTAAGAGAGAAAGCCTAGTGTGATCTATAGGTCATAAGTAGTTGAGATGGAAGAGAAAACAGACACTAGGCAGCCCTCAGGTTATGAGTCAGGGATTCAGACCAATTTCCAAGCATGAGTCAATAGGGTGAGTAGTTGTAAATTTTATTTCCAATAGTCTGCCTATTGAGCTGAGTATCTCCTCTTATTTTGGGTATCTAAAGTACACCTTATACAGCAAGCACTGTTCTGTCCACAGTTGCCAGCCATGCAGTCTTGTACTTTTATTTAATATTCTGTCTCATACAATGGTATTGCCATCATTTCAAGACTAGGTTTTGTAATGAACTGGATTTATTCAACAAAAAAGAGAAAACTTGACTCGTACCCTATGCCAGGGGCTATATGGCCCTTGACCCTAACTGCTTAATTTTGGTCATTCCTTCAGTTTTTTGAGTCTGAAGGAAACATTACATTGGGTCATATTTGTTTACAAATTTCCAAATTTCATAAATCTTGCTTTTTAAAGGGACGTATGTGTGTTATTTCTTGTA